AGAGTGGCAGGACAGGGTGGGTGGGGTAGGGCACAGGGTAGGGGGGGTAGGCTGGCGGTGGGGATGGGTGGGGGTGTATCAGAGCTCCAAGGGTGCTCTCGATGGGGACCAGAGACAGGAGCAGCAGGATCAGGGACCAACCCTGGGAGTTGTGGCGGGGGATGGGGGAAACGAGGTTGTAGGGGACAGGCAGCCCCAATTGGGCCCAGACTCACCTCTGGCCAATAGCTGGCAGAAAGGCGGAAATTTTCTTTTCAGACCACATAATTTAAAAAGTATCTCCCTCCCTCCAATGCTACTTCCTGCCTTCCCACCCACCCAACTCCATCCCTTTTCTGCCTTCTTTCCTTCCTTCCTTCATTCCCTCCCTCCCTCCTTCCTTCCTTCCTTCCTTCCTTCCTTCCTTCCTTCCTTCCTTCCTATCTCCCTTCCTTTCTTTAGAAAACAAATAGGCAAACCAACAAAACCATAATAATACAAAAAAAAAAATTAGAAACACACACACACACACACACACACACACACACACACACACAATCCATAAGAACACAAAATCAGAAATCAAAAATTTCCAAAACAAAGCTATTTGAGACCAAAATTCTACAGAAATACCACTAAGTTTGTTTTTTTCTGTTGGCCTTCTACTGCTGGAGTTGATATAGCCAATGAGACTCCATATGACAGAACTAATTTTTCCTTTGCAAGGAGATACAAATTGGACACAGCTTCTTGGTTATGGATGGGAGCTTTTGTCCACTTCCTCCTCTTAGCACTGAGATTCTGTCTGGCTTGAACTTTTGCTGACTCTGTGCATGCTGCTACAGTCTCTGTGAGTTTATGTGTGCATCAGTCCTGTGGTGTCTAAAAGACACCATTTTCTTGGAATAATTCATTTTCCCTGGATCTTACAATCTTTCTACCTCCTCTTCTATATAGTTCTCAGAGCCCTGGGGGTAGGGGTTTGATGAAGGCATACCATTTGGGACTGAGTATTCCAAAATCTCTCACATTCTGCATATTGTCTAATTGTGTGCTATATTGGTTTTATTTTTGGTTAGTGAATTTATTATTGTTTTTATTTTTAAATTTCTTTTTTATTTTTAATTCTTTTCATTTTTTGAAACTAGATTTTTTTCTAATAATACATCCTGATTATGATTTCTCCTTTCTCTACTCCTAGTTCCTCCCCACCTCCCATTCCATCTGGATCCACCCCTTTCCATCCTACATTAGAAAACACACAGGCTTCTATGGTATAATAATAATGTATAACATAATAAGTTAAAACAAAACCCAACATGTTGGAATTTGATAAAACAAACAAAAGAAAAAGAGTCCAAGAGAAGGCATAAGAAAGAGACCCACTTATTCATATACTTCAGAATCCCATAAAAACTAAACGGAAGCCACAATATGTATACATTTACCCATAGGATAAAAAGAGGGAAGAAAAAAAGTTAAATTTAAAAATATAAGAAAATTTTAAAAGGAAGAGCCCTGACACAACATTATGAGACAAAAACCTTGCAAAGATGCCATTACTTCATTTTCTGCTGTCCATCTACTATTGAGTTTGCAGCCTACCCCTAAGAGTAGTGTGTTTCCAAGTGAGACGTTTTCTAATATTTCCTTTCTTGTATCTTCTTAAGCAAGACCATGTGACATTTGGGATAGATGACAGTAGACCTTTAGAACTCATGCCCATCCTCTTTAAAATATTTATATGTAATTATAGCCTTTGATTTTTCTTATTGATTTCAAAAAGTATCAAGTTGAACAATAAAACAGAGTTTGAATAAAGATGTCATTGAGGGCAGAAAAAAACTCTTAAAAACAAGAGGTTGAATGAAAATCTTAATACCAGAGCCAGGTTACTTGATGGAAGATGTCAGTTACTTGATGGAAGACAAAACAGTCAGTCAGTAAATATGTTTATCTTGTTGGTTAATGAATAAAGCCCTTTTGGCCAATAGGAAAGCAAGATAGGCAGGACTTGGAGATAAGGAGGATTCTAGGAGAAGTAGTAGGGAGAGTCATGATGTAGGGGACTGAGGGAACAGGAGTGGACCCTCTCTCTTGGTAAGATAAGACTACCTGGAAACAATTAGATTGATAGAAATGGGTTAATATTTAAGACAGAGCTAGCCAATAAGAAATACTATTAACAGGCTGACAGGTTTATATCTAATACAGCATCTCTGTGGTTTTTGGTGGGCTGAGGAGGCATCGGGACCAGGCTGGCAGAAAAACTGCTCATAACAGTTGCTATTATATTAATTGTTGATCAGGGAGGCCCCTAAGACTCTACAAACCATAAAGGCTATTACCATCACTATTGGTTACAGGCTAATACCAGGTAGCAAGTCTGTGTTGTTGAAGACCTTTCATGCTTTTGTTTCAGGATGTGGAGTGAACAAGTTGAGATCAAGCTGGAAGCTCTCACTTGTTTACTGTCTTTCCTTAGTGACATGAAACACTATATAATCTACTAAGGGAGAATTGTTAACCAATAGTCTTCTTTATACATGGACTCTGTTTACTATAATACCAACTTGCCTGCTATGATGTGCCTGCTGGTGCAGTAGTGACAAGAATATTATGGTCTAATATGTTGCTTTTGGTTGGAAGGGAAAGCCAAAAACCAGTGACTGGGAAGTTTACCACTATTGTGTTATAATTAGGCATGGTACTCCTGACAAATATCATCCCAAATATTATATTTAGGTTCACAGATAATCCTACACCCAGTAAAGTTAAGGTAAGAGAATTGTAAAAGGCACAAAAACTAAAACACAGATGTCATGTCACTTCAGAAAGCTGAAGTAGAACTGTCATGGCAGTGACTGAGTGTCACCATTGCAAACCTTTTTGTAACAAGTCCCTGTTCAAGGAATTGCCTAACACTTGCACTTGCAGAGTGGATATTGAGTGTTCTAAACTTGCCAATGTATACTTCTCTCTTATCTAAAAGCCATGTTCTAAGCCTTCCCTTCTGCCTCTAGGTTAAGGGAGTATCCCTCTATGGGGAATGTGCTCCCAAAGTCCTTTTGTGCACCAGGGATACATCCTGGTTCCACTGTCCGAGGTCCCTTAGACTGTCCAGGACTTCTAACTGAGACCAATGAGTTGATCCAATGCTGGTTTCCCAGCTATCAGTCTAGGGTCTATTAGCTTCCCCTTGTTCAGATTTTGTTGATCTCTCCTGAAGGCATCACCCTCCCTGTGAAGTCTGGAGGGGGGTGGGATGGAAGGATGGTCAGGGAGGGAGGGAGAGAGTGAAGGAAGAAGTGAGGGAGAGAGGGAGAGAGGGAACTGGGATTGATATGTAAGATAAGAAAAGAAATGAAACAAAAATAAAATATAAAAGCCATGTTCTAATAATTCTTTTTAAAAACATTTATTTATTTTGTGCATATGTGCATGCGTGTGTAGGTGCATGCATGTGTGTGTGCATGTACACGTGCGTGTGTGTGCATGTACACGTGCGTGTGCATGTGCATGTGTGTGTGTGCCACAGCATGGTTGTACAAGTTGGAATGAGACTGTTCAAACATCTTCAGAATGGTTTCCTTCAATACCCTTGGTACTGTCTATCTAGACAGCCAGCAGAGCTGAGGACAGGTATGTAATTATTTAGGCCCACTTTTTTGCATGAGCTTTGAAAAACAAAAAGTCCAGTAAATCAAACATTTCCAAGGCACCCAGGAACAGTCACCTGGTATCTTTTTGTGTAGCTGACAGTATAATGTTTTATATGCAGCCTGACTTAACAAACTTGGCCTGTTACTTAGGGTAGGAACTTGCTGTTTTTGAAGACTTATTCTTCAGAAGGAGGTTTGTGACTAGGTCAGGCATTGAGACCAATTCTGGGATCAGGAGTAATGACAGGTAGGATCTAGAAAGGGCACTGTATGCAGTATCACTTTCTAAATTCTGTAGAGTAATGCTGCCTGTAGAGAGAAGTAAGTGGCAGATGTGAAAGAGAAATTATACCACTGGGATGGTCCTTGACTCTGGGGAATCTTCTCCACTTCTCTCTCTTTTTTAAGATGATTAGTGGATTGATTGATTTTATTTAAACTCTGGGAAACAAGAGAAATCATTAAGTGTTTGTTTTGAAAGCAAACACATTAAAAAAGGAAGTAAGGCTTTCTGTGGGGCACTACTTGTCCCCAGCCCATAAATGCTCTTTCTGACTTTCCAACACAACTGCCAAACTCTGTTTCCACACATTCTTTCAGAATGTCATTTTCCTTTCAAATGTACTTGGTACTACAGTTATGGTCTTGTTAAAACTACAAAACATCCAAAGCAATTTGCTATGTAGATTTTTCCTTTAGTGAGCAGCAGTGGTGGAGGAAATATATAATAGCATTTCTAGCCCATATTCTTCAGGGAGATAGACTAAATTCTGTAGTAATAAGAATTTTTAATTTGATGTTCTTTGAATGGTTAGAATTTGGACAAATACATGTGCTTTCCCTTTACTTTTGCAACTTAGACAAAATCCTGAATAGGGCTACTGGGATAGATTATATCATTTTTTAACATGTGGAACAAATAGGTTTGTGCCCCTAAGATATATGTTGATTATAGATTATATTAATGAGCATAGGCACTTAAGATTTTCATTGTTAGAATAAGGCTAGTTTTATCTAGTTTTGGAATTTTGTCCCTGTTTCTCTAGATAAGACTTTGTTCTGAAGATTTGATAACTTGTCTTTATTCATACATATATAATGTTATGGACATTTGATACCTTCTCTGTGATTCCATATATAGGCATATATGAACAAGTACAGTAAAGCACTCTCATATAATTGATAAAACCCAGTCATCAATATGATTCCTGCAATTGTATGTTGCTACTTTTATCCGCTTGTAGAGAGGTGTGAAGACAAGAAAAGAAGGGATAGGCAGACCCTGAATGCTGCAACTAACCAGGACCTACCAAGGTATGTGAAAAACTTTTGAATTATACCTATTTTTTTCCCTTTTAGATCTTGAATTTGCCTGAGTTGATTGATGATTCCAAGTACAAAACAAACCATCTTCGGGTGCAGAATAGAAAAGAACTTGTTAAAATCCTGTCTGCACGGTAAGCTTGGACCTAATGCCTAAGTGATTATCTGATTCTCATTAGGAGAGGCTTTGTGGGCCCTCCTTCTTTATGTCAGGTTGTAATTCTCTGTCATTCCCCAATTGATTAATGAAAAGATATCTTAAAATAGTGTGTTGTGGTTAAAAACAAAACATTTGAAAGCATTTAAACGTTTTATTAAATAGCAAATCCTAACAGTAGTATAAACAAAGTCACAGTGACTTCAACTAGGTTTCTTTTTTGTGGTATGTAACTGTTTGGATTTAGCACATCATAAACTGTTAACAACAAGCACAACAAGAATTTAACATTAATTGTACTTTCACTGTGTTAAATGCTCTGTATATCATCTCATTTAACTCTTATATTCATCCTATGAGGTAGGTCCTATTAGTCCTATTTTACAGATATGTAAACCCAAATAGGTGGAGGTAAAACTGAGTTCATTAGATTTTCTGAGTCCTTGTTTTGAATGAGTTATAGTGAAGGAAGTGCTAGTTTAAGTAATGCATCATCAAAGAGTCACACTAATTGAGTGTTTGATTTCTAAATTTCCATTTATGTCAGATTGTACTTTTGGAAAACATACGAATTTTCGAATTCTCCATAAAGAATTATTCTTACTCTTTGTAAGGTGTAGGGTTTTCCTCCCGCTGCTGGTCTTGTTCCGCCGCTGCACCAGCCCAAATTAACACACAGAGACTCTGTATTAGATATAATTCTGTTGGCCAGATACTTGTTTCTTATCGGCTAGCTCTGTCTTAAGTATTAACCCATTTCTGTTAATTTAAATATTTCCACGTGGTCTTCTTACTGGAGAGCAGGGGCCAGCAGTTCTGTTCTCTCCAGACTCTCCATCTTGACTCCTTACTCTTTCCTCTTTCCTCCTTGTCTCCTCATCCCTCCTATTTTTCATTCCTATTAGCCAACAGTGCTTTATTCATTAACCAGTATGAGAAACATATTTACAGAATGACATCTCCCATCATCTCCTCTTTTCTGTCTAAATAAAAAGAAGTGTTTTAACCTTAAAATAGCAAAATATATCACACAGCAGTTATCAAGTAAGAATCACAGTTAACAATATTTAGTCCATTAACATTTAGTAAGATTTAAGAAAATATTCCATCATCTATTCTATCTTTGTGAGTCTAAAGTCCTATATGTAACTTATCTTTAATCCTAACTAAGGAAAACTATAACCATAATTATTTGTCTTCAATTCCACCAAAGACTACAGAACAGAAGGATAATATATAAACTCTAGAAATGACAGAGATATCTTGCCTTGTCAGTCACACAAAGTTCTTCTGTAACCCTCCATCTTTAGTCCATAGGCCATATTGTGTCTGGCAGACTCCTCAGCAAAGTGGGAAACTGTCTTCTTGTGTTGGCAGTTTGTCAATCACTTTTCTCTGTGTCCTGTAGACTGTCTGGTAGACTCTTCCATGAAGCAGGAACTCTGTGTAGCACTGTCCATCTTGAATCAGCAGTCAATTTTCTGTGGGTCCTGCATGTCCAGTTTATACAGCATAAAGTCAAACAGTCTAGACAAGAGCAGTATCTTGTCCAAATGGCTAGTCTTGCCATATTGGAAGTAAACTTCATAATGAGTTTCTTTGATATCCATCTTCCTTTCTGATGCAGGCTGTGTTGCCAGGAGCAGTTATGTCTCATTGTCAAGAAAAACCTTAAACCATTTTAAATGCCATAGTCTGTAGGTCTTTGAAAGGTTTGAAGAATGCCTATCTATCTCAAATACATCACTGTGTATCTTGAAAAACCTAACTAACTTTAAGCTTTGACTATCATAGGTAATTGTCTATAATCTGTACTACATTATACATTACATTTCTAAATGAGCTATATAAGCACAATACCTAAACAAGAGGAGAAATATACATATCACAAAATTGACCTTAAATTTGTATCAATAAATGAAAATTCATTCCAACACAAAGCAATCATATCTATACATAATTCCCTTTTTACCTTTAAAAATAATTGGCTGTGATCACTAACTATTTATAACCAAGTCCATTTAAATGAAAACAAACATTTATAAACAATATTTGGGAATTTGGGCATCATTTTTTTCAAACTACTTCTTGCTGGTAAAGGGCGCTGTCATGGGGGATTCTAAGAAGATGCAGAAATCCTGGCTGTAGTCTGTAAGGCTGCTTTGTTCAGCTGTTTTTAATGTAGGATCACCTGGTACTCTGTTTTAGGGGGTCTGGCTTGCTCAAACCACATTAGTCTGGAAGGAATCCACAGCTTTTCATTTTGTGTGGAAACAAAAATAAAAATCCTTTCCCCAAGTAACTTGTCCTTAGACTTAAATTTTGAAGTCAAAGCATTTTTAAAATGTATAAATTGAATTAATCCAGTAGCATTTCTTTTATCAGTTGTTGTTATTTCCTCAGTAGTCAAACAATTTGAATACAACAGAATAGTGTATAATATCTACAGTTTTTTTTGTGTTTTTCATCTTTACGTGGCTTTTTTATTACTCTGTTTCTGTTAGTTGTATTTTTTTATTTTTTGAGTAGGGTTTCTCTGTGTAACTGTTATCTGTCCTGGAATTCACTCTGCATACCAGGTTTACTTTGTAAAAACAGAGATCTGCTTGCCTCTGTCTCCTGAGTGTTGGGATTAAAGGCGTGTGCCACCACACCCAACTATTTTTTTTTTTTTTTTGTGAATATGTCTTTATTGTAAATCTTTATCTTTTTGTAGCCAACAACAACATTGCTAAAATGAAAGTCAAAGTTGTTTCTGCCACGGTTTATCAAAGACGTCAGAGGCTATTTTCACGCCAGCATTGAGAGCTGTGCTTATTGCCTTGGTCTGTGCTGCCATCCATCAGCATGTTGCCAGCTCTAATACACCACAAATGAATTGTTAGCAGAGTTTCTTAAAAGCCTTGCAGTTTTTTGCTCTATATGCTGAGTAAGGAAACCTCCCTTAAAGGAGCCACGAAAATATCTGCTTGTCTCTTGTAAAGCAGATTCCAACTGAGAAAAATGCTGCTACCAAGAACCTTGCTTGTCTCTGTTCTTTTGTTTCTAAAACCATTTTTCAAGCTTTTGTTAAAATTTAAGTGGAAGTTCTTATTAGCCATGTGGGTGCCATATGGAAGGAGTAAGGTTTTTCCACCCTCCGCTGGTTTTGTCCTGCTGCCGCGCCAGCCCCAATTAATGTACAGACTCTGTATTTGATAAATTGCTGTTGGCCAGGTACTAGTTTCTTATTGGCTAGCTCTGTCTTAATTATTAACCCATTTCTGTTAATCTAATATTTCCACGTGCTTTCATCTTACTGGGGGATGGGGTCTGCGACTGGTCTCCCCAGCCTCTCCATGTTGACCCCTCCTTACTCCTTCTTCTTTCCTCCTTGTCTCCTAGTCCCTCCTATCTTCCTTTCCTATTGGCCAACAGTGTTTTATTCATTAACCAGTATGAGAAACATATTTACAGACTGACATCTCCCATCAACTCTTCCTATCAATTTCTTTGCTTCTAAACTTCTCAGTCTGTAGGGATAGTCTCTGTGGGTTTTGTGACTCCAAATGCCTACATGTGTTGTCATCCAATATTGAAGATTTGTTTTTGTCATGCCAATGATTTAAGGTTTGTTCAAATTCCCATGTTATTCCATGTAATATAAACTGTTTCTTAGAAAGTTAAGTCATGCTTACAATACTTTCATTTCTTTGTCTTTCATTTTGAGAACTTTCCATGAAATTCTGGATATTCATTTACTCTTCCTGGATTTTAAACACATCTCTATACTGTATCTCTTCCGTGTGTCAAATGCTCTTTGTTTCTGTGGAGGATCTGTGTGTGGGACCAATGTACACAAAGTATGAGAATGAAAAATGGCTGCCCCTTTCTTATCAATAGTTAAATATAATTCTGATTCAACTGCAAAGCCTCACAGTCCTAATAATTAACCTTTCTCCACATGAGAATTACCCATTCATTTCTACATTTTGCCCCTTTGTCTCTTAAGCATTTTTAATTCATTTAGTTCATTGATAGGATTTTTCCTTTCACACCATAATTACCAAATCTCAATAATAGGGACTTGTGAGAACCTTATCAAAAGCTCTTTGATGGACTAAAAAATCATGGCCATGCTGTGAGAAGAGTGGATCCCAAGCAAAATAAACCCAGGCAGATACAAGTATCATCTTGTTATTAAATTGCCAGCATTTTGATACCACCAGTGTACCTTGTGCCCTAAAACTTTGATTCCCTCATTAGTTCAGTTATAGAATTCTACTGTGGAAAGACTTTAAACAGACTTTGGTAGAGATAAAAACTTTTCCTTTTGATGTCAACCTAGTAGCATTTCACTATTTTACAAACACATGCATAGAATTTAAGTATTTTAAACTCATAGGGTCATTATTTTTCTACTCAGATTCAAGAAAGTTTAAGGAAACATGGGGAAAATAAGACTCTAAGGATGGTCACAGAGAGGAACTTTGATTTTGATTGGAGATTCTTGACTTAGGGTCCATGCCTGTTTTTTTTTTTTTTTTTTTTTTTTTTTTTTGAGGCTGGTTTCATGCTCTCTTAGTGTCTTGACTTTTGGGGGGGCATTACCTTATAATTTTTTATTTTGTAAATTTTTATCTTTTATTTATTTTTTTAATATTACATATCAATCCCAGTTCTCTATCTGTCCCTTCCTCCCTCCCTCTCTTCCACCCTCCCATGCCCCCCTACCACCCTCCCATACCAACCCCCACACTCCACATGTAGGGTGATGCCTCCCTGCAGGGGTCATCTAAATCTGTCAAGTCATTTGGAGTAGGGACTAGGCTCTCCCTCCTGCCTCTAGGTTAAGGGAATATCCCTCCATGGGGAACATGCTCCCAAAGTCTTTTTGTGCACCAGGGATATATCCTGGTTCCACTGTCAGAGGTCCCTTAGACTGCCCAGGCCTTCAAACAGAGACACATGTTCAGGGGGTCTGAGTCAGTTCAATGC